TCTACGACTTAGTTTTTTAAAATAAGCAAAATAATATGTTTTGGGTTTGAACTTGCATACATTTGCAAAAATCACGTAAGGCTTCAATGTAACATTAATTATAGGAATAAATCTAGCATTTAAACTTCACATGAAAGGATATTCTTGTTATTAAATGCAGACTAATCCAATTATTTCTCATTGAATGTCCTTGGTATTTAGTCAGTAAGTATGGAAATTGAGGCAGTTTAGTTCTCACTTAGATTCTTGCTGAGATATTTAAGCATTGTGGGAATCCATAGGAGCAGGGCATCTTCATTTCACTCACCAACATGCAGTTTGAAACCCAGAAGCCAACACAAACTTACATTTGTAAGGATTTAGGGAGCCATACTCCCTGTGTGAGTGTGACTGGAGAGAGCTCAGCCTAATCTCCAGCACCTCATTCATGTATACACAAGCTCCAACCACATCACATCTCCAACAATACCCTCAGCGTTTTTTGATGTGCCTTAATACTTCGCTTACATTTTCCTTGTGTCTGGAATACTCTTCCTTCCCTGCCCCCAGAACTTTCTCCTCACCTCTCAAGACTCAAGTCTAAGTAGCACATTGCCTGTGATGTTTTACAGGTTCTCTCTGTTGTATTCCAAGAGCATTCTGTTCCTACCTGGATTAGAACATTTATTTCAGTGATCTTTTTGTCCTTCCTATAGCTTCTATTTCACTACAGAATAGATATTCAATAAACATTTCTTAAATATATGATGAACCAACCATGAGAAACAACTGACCTTTCTCCATTCTTAAAAGTTGTCATGTATCTCTTAAACTCATTCTCCTAGAGCTAGGGGTTCATGTGATTAGCTGGAAAGGCTTAAACTTCTTGACTACTGCCTCTGGCCTTATTTCCCCATGCTGTAGATTTTAACTTCTTTTCCCTCTGAAATGGAGGTTCTTGTGATCCTGATAAAAGCTATGAATACTCTCTCCAGAATTTATTCATAATCACCTACAAACAAAACTAATCATACAGTTTCAAGGTTTTTTGAAATCATTGAAACCCTTCCAAGACTCCAAGATTAAGTACCTATACCTTGACTGACTTAGTCATTCTTTGTAGTTAAAATGACAAAAAGCTTTGAACCTTTATTCCACCAGATGTTTTCCATGAAGTCACTGGTATTTCTGTATCACTGAGTTTCTCATACAATAAGTATTCACTGAATGCTTACTATGCACAGCCAGAGAATAGGGTCTGAAGCCAGACTATCTTTTTCAAATTCTGGTTCTGCCATTTACCAGCTATGTGACCTCAGGGAAAATTGCTTAACTTCTCTGTGCCTTGGTTTACTCATCTTCAAATGAGGGTAATAATGGTATTTATTACATAGAGTCGTTGTGAGTATTAAATGCATTAATTATGTAAAACATTTAGAACACAGTTGCATAGAAAGCCTTATATAAGTATTTGCTGTAATTAATAGGTTCCAGGAACTGGAGATATTTAGATTAATTAGATGTGATCAGTTTCCTTGAGGATCTCCAAATCTAGTGAGGAAAATAGATGTGCAAATAAAAGATAATCCCCAAAAACCCACTGCCATCAAATCGATTCTGGCTTCTAGTTACCCCATTGGGTTTTTAAGGTAATAAATCTTTACGGAAGTGGATTGCCTCATCTTCCTTCCACTGAATGGCTGGTGGGTTTGAGTTGCCAACCTTCTGGTTAGCAGTCAAATGCCTTAGGCACTGCACCACCAGAGCTCCTAAATGAAAAATAAAAGATAAACTGGTAAAACTATGATGCAGGTCCATACAATGGAGCACAGGGGAAGGGGCAATTTCCTCCCGAGGGCTGGCAGGGAGTCAGGAACTGCCCACACGTGAAGTGGTATTATAGGTGAGATTTGATGGATGAATGGGTGTTGCTAGTGGATTAGTTGGGGATTTGCATTTTAGGCAGATATAAACAAAATCACAACACATTTGAAAGCATATGGGGCAGTTGGGGATAGCAGCTACTGAGAGTCATTTTAGTATAAAGGTTAAGCTGGAAGGTGGTAGGAAGTGAAGCTGAAGTACGTGGCAGGCACGAAAAACTGGATTATTCTACACCTGTTTTCAACTACCTTCTCCAAATGGAAACATTCAGTTTTCCCAGCCAGGTGAGGTCATAAGTCAAGTAATAAGTCATTTGCTAGGAAGGTCTTTTCTTCTAGAATGAAAAAGCAAAGCCTTACCAAAAGAAGCCTTCTTTGGCTCTTCTGTTTTTTTCCCACATGTAAGCTGGGCTTGAGGCAAGAGCTTAGGTCCCTGATACTTAGCAGCCCCTCGGGCTTCTGTTAGTGAGAAATGTCCCAGTTGGCAGGCTTCCTTGTGCTCAGAGCCAGATGCATGCCCAGCTGATACAAGTGGTTAATGCCAGTATCACAGAAGGCCTAGGATGCTTGTCAGAGGAGCTATGACTTTGACATTTGGGCAATGGGCACTGCAGTATAATTTAGAGGTTGAGAGTATAGCTTTACAGTCACACAAACCTTGGTCTGAATCCCGGCTCAGCTAGTTACTGGCTATAAAACCATGAAAAATTTGTTATCCTCAATCTGAGCTTCATCAGGCACAGGTTTGAAGTCTTATTTTAGAATTATAACTCTAAATGTGTTGAGAGGAGAGAGAGGGCAGAGCTCCAGTGAGAACTGGCTGTTGTTCTGCCAGAGGAAAAGAATATCAACTAAAGATTCAGAAATAATTTCAAGACTTACTGGGGATCCTAGTGGACATTTTTAGCCAAAGAGCATTCTGATTGTGTTGGATTTTACAAACTTTCTGAGACTTATGTCTTTATGACCAAATGTCTTAGAACAAGTTACCCTAACATTCTTCAGAAGAGAGAAGCCTTTTCCCTTGAACTATGAATTTCTATAAATCAAAAACAAAACAAAACAAAACAAAACAACTGTCGAGTCATTTTTGACTTATAGTGAACCCTCCTTGGGTTTCTGAGGCAGTATCTCTAAGGAAGTAGATTGCCCAATCTTCCTTCTGCGGAGTGGCTAGTGCGTTTGAACTGCCAGCCTTCTGGTTAGGCACTATGCCCCCAGAGCTATAGCATCTTGTAGTACTCTAGGAGAACAGTGAGGAGTCTGGAAATATTTGGTGAGACTAGCCAGCATGGAAGGAACAGATCATCTGAGACTCATTATTCCCTTGTAGTGGCACTAACGGTGCTTTGGATTCTGTTGGTAACTAATGTTACTAGAAAGTTTAAGTACAAGTCCATTTCCCTTATGTCCACTTAGAAGTGCTAACAGAGTTCATCTGTGAAGCTGGGGTCAGGATAAATGAAGCCTAGGAAAAAAGTGATTTAATTTAAGAGACAATGAAAAAGCTTTGACCCCAAAGCTTGTCACGCTTTTTCTTGTCAAGAATGCTGGACAGTTCTACATACAGATTATTTATCTTGAGGAATATAGAAAGGAACCTCAATAGGGTATGAGTAGGAGAACCACATTTCCATCATTAACAGCTGGATGAGAATAACCTGACACTCAGGGCCAAGGTAACTGATTTCTCACGTTTACCAGCTAGTAACTGGCTGAGCCAGAATTTGAACCAAAGTTTGACTGCAAAGTTGTATTTTAACTTCTAAATTATACTGTCTTCACTTTCCTGGCCTAAGCCCCACCTCCCATCCCTGCAAACACATACTTTGTAGGTTTACATCCTCAAGGTAAAGCATGTGAAAGCTTTTCCTCACAAGTTCCCTAAGATAGGACTTAGTCACTGTGAGTTTGAGCCTGACCATAATTTTGTGGAAGGATCTCCTAGCCCCTTGTGGGCAAAGGAGACAAATTTAGGCATGAAGAAAGGCTTTCATTAGACACATCAAAGATTCGGTACTCTAGCAAACTGCCTAACACTGTGCAAACCACGAAGATGGGATGGACAATTAGGCTTTATGTCTATTTAACTCAACTAGTAAGGAGCTCTGGTGGTGTAGTGGATAAGGTATCCAGCAGTAGTGGATCAGCAGTTCAAACCCACCAGCCACTCTGCAGAAGGAAGATGGGGTGATCTACTTGGTAAAGATTTACAGCCTCTGAAACCCCAATGGGAGTTTCTATGAGTCGGAACTGACTTGATGGCAGTGAGTCTGGTTTTGGTTTTGGTTTGAGTACATAATCACTCAAGGATATTCTGGGGCTTTGCTGATGTACCTGTCCTAGGACCTGAGAGTTTTCTGATCTCTGGAACTGGTCCATGGGGCCAGAGTGCCACCTTTAAAATGTGGCCCTTTTGTTTAAGGGCTACATACCCTGGGAAGGGCTGTGGAAAAACTGAAATGCACAGGTCAAAACATTTCTCTTCTGTCTCCCACAGAAAGGATAGTAATAGAGGCTAGACTGCTTGAAGGATCAGGTTCTGAATCAGATGTTGTTGGATGCTTCTCTGTATGTTTGTGGCAATTCCACACACACAAAACACTATCTGATGCCGCACCATCCCTATGATTGGTTTTGGATTGGATTGTTGTGACCCTATGTTTTCATTGGTTGATTTTTGGGAGTGAATCACCAGGCCTTTCTTCCTAGTCTTACTCTAGAAGCTCTGCTGAAACCTGTTCAGCATCATACCACCATGCAAGCCTCCAGAGACAGAAAAGCAGGAGCTGTGTGAGGAGTACATTGGCTGGGAATCAAATAAGGGTCTCTAGCTTGGGAGGTGAGAATTCTACAATGAATTACCATTGTCCTTCTCTGAGTCAGATGAAGAGGCTACTACTATAATGGCTACAGAATATACCTACTATGAATTGTTTCCTGGTACCACTCTGGGGGATTTGATCAAGATCCCTAAGAGTTGAAACACAGAGAGAACAAGGCTCCCTCTGAGACAAGAGAAACATGAATTTGGCAGAGTGTTTGGGGTGCCATGAAAGTAGGAACCGGCTCATATGTGGTTTACATCAATCTCACCACTTTGTTACATGTGCTACTTTCCAAGGCCCAGCTGCTCACCTCGGCCTGCCAGATGGGGTTCACAGTGTTGCCTATAATCTTGGACCTCCTCTCCTGTCCATGGTGAGGGAGGGCAGGGAAGATGCTGTGCTTCCCTGGCTGGATGGAAATCTTCAGATAAGGGTCTGGATTGAAAAACATCCCTTTCTTCAGCCCCATGGCCTGGAAATCTGAAAAAATAAAGGATATTTTAAGTCACATGTATTTTAGCTAGGCTGAAGATCAACTCGCTTTTATATAAGGAGAAAGCCGATCTAAACGTGAAAAAATCATTTCAATCTATAGACTATTTTCCACTCCATTACAAATATAGACTGACTTGTCTATAGAAGGAGCTCTGGTAGCATAGTGCCTAAGGCATGTGACTGCTAACCAGAAGGCTGGTGGTTCAAACCTACCAGCCACTCCTTGGAAGGAAGATTGGGCAATCTGCTTCCATAGAGATGCTGCCTTGGAAACCCAAGGAGGGGTTGCAATGAGTCGAATTGACTCAATGGCAGTGAGTTGTTTGGTTTGTCTACAGAACCTACTATGTGGAACATGTACCGGCAGGTATTAAATTGTATTTTCATGAGATGTCCTTGTAATAAATAAATCCTACTGGTATTATAGTCATTATGCTCTTCATCAAAGGACCATTGGCCTTAACTGGACTTCAAATGTTTCTCAAACAGGTTAAGTTAAGGGAGTTGAGGGTGAGAGGCTGAGGGTCACCTCAGGAATGATGAGTGGACAAAAAGAGAAGGAATACAACTTTGAGATATCAATAGGTCTATGTGAAAAACCCCTCTGTAAAGTGGAGACATAAGTAAAATAAGGGCTGTAGTTTCACAATAAATATAGTTTTCATTGAGCAAGGAGAGAGAAAATCAGGAGAAATAAAGAAAATGTAGAAAGTTAACAGAGCAAAAAGCATGGGTAGTGTAGGAAAGAAAAACAATAACATCATAGTCCACAGGGATTTAAATGTGTATCAGTGAGTTTTAAGGAACCATGTGTCCAGGGGGCTGCCGGCAAGATGGCGGACTAGGCAGAAGGATTGCACAGACCCTCTTCAACAAAGAAAAGGGAAACCAATTAACAC